AACCCACTGGCAATGGCCTTCAATCCAATAGCAACGGCCTCCAACCCACTTGCAATGGCCCCCAATCCAATAGTGATGGCCTTGAATCCAATAGCAATGGCCTCCAGCCAATTAGCAATGGCCTCCAATCCAATAGCGATGGCCTCCAACCCAATAGCAATGGCCTCCAACCCACTCCAACCCACTAGCAATGGCCTCCAATCCAATAGCGATGGCCTCCAGCCCAATAGCAATGGCCTCCAACCCACTAGCAATGGCCTCCAACCCAATAGCAATGGCCTGCAACCCACTAGCAATGGCCTCCAATCCAATAGCGATGGCCTCCAATCCAATAGCGATGGCCTCCAACGTAATATAGCAATGGCCTCCTCTCTAAGAGCGATGGCATACGGCAAAAATTCAAGGTAAGTATTCGAGTTGGTGGCAACGGATGCCCATTGAACACCCCTAGCAGCCCCTTTGGCTCTACAATAGTCTAGAAGTTCATGATGCGAATCATGACGAACCTTCAATTGCTTTGAGCCCGTGTGAAAGTGTAAAAAAGGAAAGACAAACTAGACAACGGTTGGCCCGAGAGCGAGACATGTAATTGTCCAGCACTGTCGAAAAGATGTATAGAAAGAGAAAGAGAGGGTGGATGTGAAGGAGTGACAGTGTGATGTGCAGGTGCGATATATAGATCTGTAGATGCATGGAGGTGGAGAGGTAGATCTGTGGATGTGAGCGTGCGAAGATGTAAATGCACAGAGACGAGAGAAAAGATGTAGAAAGAAAGAAAGAGGACAGATGTGAAGGAGCGACAGTGTGGATGTACAGATGTGATATAGATGTGCAGATGTGTGGGGAGGTGGAGAGGTAGATCTGCGGATGTGAGCGTGTGAACATGTAAATGTAGAGAGGTGAGGGGGTGTAGACGTAGATGCGTCGATGCAACGGCAGTGCAACGTCAACCTTAGTTGTGCAAGTACAACGCTGAAGAGGTTCAATTGGAACTGAAGAACGTACATTTCACACTGAAGTTTCCACGAACAGGGCGACCTGAGAGTAAACGACGTCGCGATCATGACAAGCGACTCGTGTATTCCAAGCAAACATCGTTTGTCATGAAGGTGAAGTACACACATACTAACGTCACGATGACTCTTTTGTGGCAGCCACTTATGAGTAAGCAAAGTAGCTAAAATTTGTCAACCTTTCAAGAGAGCCGGGTGGTCGGGAGACATGACTCAGCTGCAGGGGCGCCAGAGCAGCCGCGAGAGATGACTCATCCGCGTACTCAAGTTGCGCTACAAAGTCGCCAGTTCTCAGCTTCCAGCTCCACAGCTTGCTCCGCGCACTAAAGTTGTACTACAAAGTCGCCAGTTCTCATCTTCCAGCTCCTCAGATACTCCGCGTACTAAAGTTGTACTAGAAAGTCGCCAATTCTCATCTTCCAGCTCCCCAGATACTCTGCGTACTAAAGTTGTACTACAAAGTCGCCAGTTCTCAGCTTCCAGCTCCACAGATTGCTCCGCGTACTACAGTTGTACTACAAAGTCGCCAGTTCTCATCTTCCAGCTCCCCAGATACTCCGCGTACTAAAGTTGTACTACAACTTCGCCAGTTCACATCTTCCAGCTCCCCAGATACTCCGCGTACTAAAGTTGTATATACAAAGTCGCCAGTTCTCAGCTTCCAGCTCCACAGATTGCTCCGCGTACTAAAGTTGTACTAGAAAGTCGCCAGTTCTCATCTTCCGGCTACCCAGATACTCCGCGTACTCAAGTTGTACTACATAGTCGCCAGTTCTCAGCTTCCAGCTCCACAGATTGCTCCGCGTACTAAAGTTGCACTACAAAGTCGCCAGTTCTCAGCTTCCAGCTCCACAGATTGCTCCGCGTACTAAAGATGTACTACAAAGTCGCCAGTTCTCATCTTCCAGCTCCCCAGATACTCCGCTTACGAAAGTCGTACTAGAAAGTCGCCAGTTCTCATCTTCCAGCTCCCCAGATACTCCGAGTACTCAATCAAGTTGTACTACAAAGTCGCCAGTTCTCAGCTTCCAGCTCCACAGATTGCTCCGCGCACTAAAGTTGTACTACAAAGTCGACACGCACGATCTCCGCAGAGGGTTGCTCCGGACCGGGACAAATCGCACTCTCGCCTGCATTTCGCGCATCCGACACGCACGATCTCCGCAGAGGGTTGCTCAGGACCGGACCAAATCGCACTCTCGCCTGCATTTCGCGCCCTCGACACGCACGATCT